CGCCGCCGCCGCAGCAGCAGCAGCAGTGCCGCTGCTGACATCGTCACCGCGGTCTCGAGCATCGTCAACGGAGACGGCACCGCCGCTACCATCGCCGCCGACAGCAGGCGTGACGGCAACACCATCAGCAGCTGCCATGGCATCTGCAGGAGCTCCTGCAGCAGGCCACATCCACCCGTCCTTACTCCCGCTTCCCGCCGCCGCCGCGCGGCTCAGCAGGCGCCGGATCCTCGCCTCCGCGCACCTGTCTCTCGGCAGCTGCGCGGGGGGCAGGTTGCTTTTGTTGTAGCTCGTGGACCTCCGGCATGAGGCTCCGCCGCCGCCGCCGCCGGTAGGGCCCGCCACCGCCGCCGCCGCCGCCAGCTGCGTCGCGTTGTGCGGCACCGACTGCCGGCCGTGCTTGTCCTGCGCCTGTCCCACGACGTCCTTCGCTCGGCGACCGGACATGGACAGGACCCCGACGTCGCCGCCGTGATCGAGCAGGCGGGACAAGCACTTGGTCTTGCCGTAGCGGGCGGCCGTGTGCAGCGCCGTCTCGCTGTTGTCGTCCAGGAGGTTGACGTCCACCGCGCTGAAGGAGAGCATCTCCGAGATCACGTCCGGGAACCCGTGCTTCGCTGCGGGGGCGCGCGCATCGAAATACAGGCATGCAGGTCGGTGCCACCAGCAGAAGCGGTGTGTGCGAATGAGGGTCAAATGGAGCCGCCGCCGCCGCCGCCGCCGCAGCAGCAGCAGCAGCATGGCTATACCGTTGGCACCCACTATTGTAGCCTGATCGCTGGTGCCTGCACCCACTAGCGCGACCGCTGCTCCTGCTACCCACTACGTAGCTGCACCTCAACATGCTGAGTACAAAAAACGACACTGGATCCATCTCCACGCCCACCTGCGAGGTGAAGCGCGGAGTAGCCGAACTGGTCCCCCCTGGTAGCGTCGGCACCAGCGCTCAAGAGCTCGTGCACGACGCCCACGTGCCCCCGGCAGGACGCGAGGTGCAGCGGCGAGGTGCCCCCGCCCGCCCGGGATTTCGGCGGCGGCTTCGGGCCAGGCTTGCCCCCGAGCAGCTGCCTGGCCCCTGCGTCTGGCTCGTCGTCCTGACAAGACATGTTGATGTACTGCCGCAGCATGTTGGTATGCGCACGCCTCGCAAAACCGACGACAGCACGCTGTCGGTATGTTTGTATGTGACACGCTGCTGCCGGCGGCGTTGCCACGTTGTCCGCTCTAGATCACTGCTGCCAAACCGACGAGAGCGTGCACGTTTGGGGCAGCAGAGCGGTGTCAAGAAAACCGAGGCGGTGTGAAACGCGCCAAAACGAGAGGCTTTGCGTCGCCCTCACGGCTGGCTCGTGTGTCCCCACGCTACTGCAAGTTTCACAACCAACCCGCAACCCGCACCTCCCGCACCCACCGCACCCAAAAACTCGGTGGTGGTGTCCGCATCATCAACCCGCATGTTTTCCCGAGACCATGCTCCTCGACCACAGAGCCGTTGGGTTTCAACTCTGCACGTTGGTGATCATACCTCTGCTATCCCTGCCAATTTAGATGCCCGCCGCCCCCACACGCTTCGGGAGCCCAATGGTGGGGAGAGAGAGCAGTCGTAGTCACGCACGGCTAGCGTGTTGCTGGTTGCGTGTTGCGCGTTGCCGGGGGGGCACGCAGCCTAAAGCCATGATTTATGGAGGCACCCGGGGGTTGTGTGGTGTACAGCAGTAGTTCTCGAGGCGTTATCAGGCTTGAATGTAACGGTCGTTGATCACAAAATTCAATCAGCAAGGTGTACTGCTGTAACGTACTAGCTGCTTTACAGTCGACCGAACTCAAAGGCGCCTGACCGCAAGTGCACATGCGTACAAGTACATCCAAGCGAGAACCTGTTTACAGTAATAGCTAAAAATAGGAGACGAAATCGGGAAGTGCACAAGTGCGCTCTAGTTACAAGCAGTTTCCTTTCAGTGGCGTCGTCGTCGGTCTCAAGATTCGGACAAGCTTGCGCGTAAATAGTTCAGTGTCGCGTTCGAAAGATCGCCGCTGTCGCCAAACGTTCGGTGCCGCCGCGTTCGCGAGATCGCTGCTCGATGTCGTCAAAAAGTCAGTATTAGTAAGGCCGTGTTCTCAAGCTCGGTCGCCGCTGTCGTAAAAAAACAGTTCAGTCCCGAGAGTTCTATCAGATCATCTGATAATAATATCACCGCTCGCTGCCGCCACGTACGTGCGTCGTGACGTGCTTCTCGGGTACCTACAGCTGTTGGGCGGAGCGTGGCTGTCGACACCACAGAGTGCGACGAGCGACGGCGATCGAGAAGCGCGACGAGAGTATTCGGTGCGCTGTTGTGCCAGAGGTGCTGTCGCCGCGTGACGACCACGTTTGTTTGGTACAACAATAATATTACATGTAGTCCCGCATCGGCATGCGGGCGATCACGCCACCGCCGCGACGAGCTCGATCGAGGAATTACTTGAACAAGGCTCAGAGCCGGTGGCCGCAGGCCACCGCAGACTTGAAAATCGCCCAGACAGAGGGTCGCAGACAAAGTGAGCGCGCTGACGGCGCGTTACGAGACTGTCGCAGCTACCCTCGTAGAGCGAGCGACCCCGGGACTTAAATGGCCGCACACAAGTCGTACCGTACGTCTTGTATGGGGCCCAGTGTTGGATATTGGGTATCGAATATCGATACAAAACTGATATATATCGCCGATACGCAGTATCGGTATTGCCGGTTTCCACGCCGATATTTGTCGATACGAATCGGTATCGGTATTTATATCGGTATTCGATACTCGATATTTTGGCCCCCTTTTTACCGGGGGGGGGTCAGTTTCCCAGCTGTCTACCCCCTTTTTTCGCTCCCCGGAGGCGCCTGCTACGCGCCTACTCCTGTCGCCCCCCACTGCCATCACAACCACACACCACACACACACCAGCCCCTGCCAGCCACACACCACACCAACAGCGCCTGTGTCTCAGCTCCTGAGAACCACATCGGTGTGCAACATGAGCCTTCAAGAATTCGGCTTTGTCGCCGGCGATAGCGCTGCCTCTGCCGAATGAGTAGTAGTAGCAGTCATCCCCGTTAATTTTAGAGTCAGCTTGCCTCCTTACGTAGATTTGGCGTTTCCCGCAGTTTCAGCAGTAGAACTGCTACATTAGTGCGAACAGAGGCCGTACCTCCTGCGGACAATTTATGCTGTGTGAACTTGGTTTTGGGACTTGTAATACGTAGTGAATGGCAAGGTGTGCTTGATTTCATGTCCGACCACTTGGTTGGGCGTGTGATGAATAGAGGTAGGTGATGTCGTCGTGGTCAAGTTTGGCAAGCGTTTGATTTTCGCACATAATGTTTTCGCCATGTTTTTTCTTTTGTTACCTTTTGGCTGTTGGTTTTTCTAGAGTTGATACTCGCTCGAGGTGCATTGCTGATTGTTGGGCACCCACAACTGGTGGGTGGAATTTTGCATGCATAACTTTGAAGGTAAAGATAATAATATTAAACCAAGTAGTCAAGTAAGTAAGTGTTCGAGTTTTTTTCGCGTTTTTTTGTCATGAAATCCTGCTCGCAGCCGAGCTTGCACTGATTCGATCGCAACCGTACGGCGGTGTTATAGTGTGTACGTGTATACACACATGCACACTGACTGTAAAATGTAAAATATATCTGGTGGACATAGCTACACAACCAACTCCTGCCTCTTGCACGATGCAGTTTTTTTTTATTTTGTATGCGCGACATCACGCCACAACGTGTGCCCGCTGTTGTTGTGCCCGTGATGTTCAACTAACTAACTGCACACACCTGGCACCTGGCAAACACCACTACTTGCATGCCGCCGGACCATGCGCGCACGTCTTGCGCACAGCTGTATACTTCAGATAAGGGTTCGGGTGTGCCAGGGTACGTGTAGTTGCGTAACGCTCGCTCTTCTTGTAACCGAGGCGTTCAAAACAGCCGTATCGATATCGAGTATCGATACTCGATACGTATCGAGCCATTTTCGGGATAACGAACAAAATATCGGTATTTGTGTTTTTTTCTCGATACGATTGGCGTATTGTATCGAACCCTTCTGCCCGACCAATATCCAACACTGATGGGGCCATCTGAGTGAGTCAGGACCGCGCACTTTTCGAGGGCCGCATGCAGTAGTAAGGTAAGTAGTCTCGTCACACGCCGTCAGTGAGTTCGCTTCGTCTGCGCCCCGCTCTGCGCGAGTTTCAGGTCGTCGTCGTCCGCGGTGGCCCGCAGCTGCTGGCTCTTCAAGGGGCTCGAACTCGTCGAATTTGAGACACCCAGGGCGGTGGTGGCGTGATCCTTGACCAGCCGAAACAATGCAGCTAGCTGCGGAATTACCTCGAGACCACTGAATGAAATGCTTCGTTCGGACTACTCGCAGAGAGGCGTGTCTGCGGACGTCCCGGGGACCACAATACATACATACGTACGTACGTCTGTAAACAGAGGGCGGAAGCGGCCTAAAGGAGGAGCATATTTCCTTTCGCCTACAAAGAGTCCTCTTTTAAACGGATACAACCAACGCTGGAAAAGGCAAGGGAGTTCGGAAAGCGTCACCAGGACGCTGACGACGTCTTTTTCTTGCTTGACTTGCTCGATACAGCGGCGGCGAAGGGTCCGGGGGTTCGCCAGGCAACGCGGGCCGAGTTCCCTAACTCATGGCATCTGTCGCGTTGCCGGAGCGTTCGCAGTTCCGCCAGCCGAATCGGGGGGGTCTGTCGTGGACAAACCGGCCTTGGCAAGGGAGACTATTATGTATGGCTCTTGGCTCTGGGGCTCACATGACATGTATTATTATATGAAAACGCGGTAGCCATGCTGTTGGCCATTTATTTTGGCTTCGCCAACACCGCAGGAAGCGCAACCCTCACTCTGAGGCCGGTCGGGACGATCGATGCTCACCATGATGACATCACGGAAGTACACGAAAAACGTAGTTTTTTTCGATCCCAATGTACCCAAGTTGTTTTTATTTGGGACTTTTTGGGGGGGGGGGGGGGGTACTTCTACCCGGACCCTAATTCCTATATTAAGGGGAGAACCCTGTTGTTTTTTTCAGGGTGCCCTTTTTTGGCCCTCCCAAGGGTGCGGGGGGGTACCTGTGTGCGTGTTCGCGGGGTGACGAATTTTCGTGCACCGTGCACACGTGGGTACAACCTGTAGTTGTTTCATCGAATCCTGGGGAACGAATTTTGTGGTGTTTTCCAGGGGGCGGGACATGTAAAGGGAAAATCTCTACATGAGATCATGATGAGACATATCTACAGGCCAACGTGCATCGAACAATGAACTGGTTGGTCGAACGACAAGTGTTTTTCCCCATGTGCTAAACCTGCCTGGTATTTGTGCTCAGTAGGTTGGTCAGTGTACAGCGCAGGGAGCGGTTTGAAGTGTATCCCTCTGCCTCCTCGCGGCAGAAAAGAAAGAGAGGGTGTGGCTGAGAGGCTCGGTTGTGAAAGGGTGAAACCAGACGACTATCAACCATCAACAACGAGAGAGATGAGAGGGAAGAGGGAGAAACCCCTGCGCACTGCGCACGCCCCGCCGTAAAGTCCAGAGCAACGTGCTGCCTGTCATCGTTCCACGCGCACAGCTCACTGCCTCACTCGCCGTTTCGACCACTGGCGGCACTGACTGACCTAGTTAGTCGTCCGGGGATACTCAAGCGACGGGTCATGAATGAGCCATCCTTCGCGATGGAAGGTGGGTGGGTTGATCTCAACCCACTGCATGCACCCCCTGCGTGAGTGTGAACACAACACACATGGGAAGTGTTGAAGAGTTGTTTTGGGCAAAAGCTCGTCGTTAACGCGGCAAAAAGAAACCTCCGCCGTGCGCTGCTACAAAGTCGTGTGGTTTCAAGCCCCCCCTGTCCTCCGAAAACGCCAACTTGAGAGAAATTCTCGTCAAAGCCGCTGGAAAGCGGAATCCTACTACACCGCCCGTGGATACGTCTCTCCTTCGACGTTGATCGATCTCAACTCCTCAGTCTCTATACGCCATGAAGGGTAAGAAACGGTCATTATCTAGACCTCCCCCCCGAAATCAGAAGAGAAACTAAACACAAGGTTCTCAAAAAGTCGTCAAGACAGCAAACAAACAGAGGAAGGCACCGTTGAAAAAAAATCCAGAGACACGAAAAGACCAGCGCGACACACGAGTCAACGCCAGCTCCCGTGTGGCTACATCCGCAACAACTACCACCGCTCATTGCAGCAACGCAAGGGCAAAGCTTCTTCCCATCATCCGATTCTCGACACTCTCCAGGGCCGGGACAAGAGGCGAGTCACGCGAGACGGAAAAAGGCCTCTAGAGGATAGCCTTGGCGAGGGGGCCGTGCTGGGCGATGTACTTGACGGAGTTGCCGTCCTTCTGCAGCCAGCCCTCCTTGCGACCCCGCACGTACTCCTGTTTTTGTTTCGTGGATTGCACAGCAGCAGTTGAATACAATTAGACAAACCCGCGTTAGGTAAAAAAAAACGTAAGGTGAGCTGAATGCACATAAGCCTCTGGAGAAAAAATTCAACCACTGTTTAAGAGCCTCGAATAACCTGTACACAATTAACGTTCATGCAAGGACTTGTGGATCAGTGATAAATTACGCGCGAAACGAAAGCGCATGCGTGTACTCAATGCACATGGGTCCGCGATAGGCTTTACACACACGCAACCCCGCAACACTGGGTGGGAGGAAACGAACAAACACGTTCAGGTAATAAATCCACATCAGAAAAGCATACAATGTAACGCCTCACAATGTCAGGATCGACCCTATTCTCCACAGGAGGTAGGTGCGTATCGTAGTCAAGGTCCCTTTGACTGTGGTACTATCTCGAACGGCTGACCTGCATTTGATCGCATGTAGATTTCTAAAACAAATCAAGCAACAACGACACCGACACAACATGCACACATACCTCCCTGGGGTACTTGGTGAAACCCCACTTGTTGGACTGGAGGATCTTCTGGCGGCCGGGGAACTTGAACTTCGCACGCCGGAGTGCCTCCACCGCCGTGGGACGGTGGTTGTCCTTGGACCGGATGGAGATGATGATCTGCAGACACAATACCCACGAAAAATACACGCAAACAGACGCAAAAATGGCGCGCGAAAAAAATTAGAAAGAAACAAACACGAAAGGGAAAGCCGACAGGCCAAGGAGGTCAAAGGGGGGGGGGGACCGGTTCCGGCAAGACTCTTGACAGAAAAAATGTGCTGCAACTGACGGGACACGATTCCCGATCGCAGCAAGCAAAACAAAGATCGTGAAGGATGTCCTACCCCAGCCTTATTTTCCAGCGCCTCTAACTACGCCAAGGATGCCATTCAATGTCCGTAATGCTCAAATCCAACGGGCCGGAGGGTACAACATCAGCAACCCCCCCCCCCCCCCCCCTTTTTTTTTTTGGGCTGAATTTCCATCAACCCCCACAAAAATTTTCCCATTTTCTCCAACCNGTTAGGGATGGGAGGTCAAGGTTTAAAGGATTAGGGCATGCAGGATTATGAGCCCCCCCCCCCCCCCCTTTCTTTTTTTGGCTGGACTTCACATCAGCGCTCACAACACTTGTGCCATTTACTCCAACCCGTGGTCACACAGAAGGGTTCCTCTCCCTGAGGCCCCCCACCCACCCCTCCCTGCGGCACGTTGCCTTCAATTTTTAAAGCGAGACTCAAGACACGAAAAAAAAGAGAAACACACCTGTCCAATGGCGACACGCGCGGTTGTGCCCTGCGGCTTTCCGTACGCGTGGCGCATACCGGTCTGTCGTCATTTAAGTCAGCCAGAATAAGGGATCGATTTCCCAGCGTCGAAACGGGGCAGGCAGGAGCGAGGACACCGATACAAGCGGAGAGAGGGAAATATGAGTCACGCAAGAGGGTTGAGAAAAGGCGCTTGTCGACGAGATGAATTGCAACACGTGTAAATCTAGGGATGTGGCAGGGTGGTGAGGCAGAGGCCGGGACGGCCTTCAATGTGAAGGTGACAACAAACTACGTGTAAGGTATGCAGCCTGCCGTTCATGCTGTATTTGGCTCACCAACCGCCGAAAGTTCCATCACATGTTGCATACAGACCGGAGGCCTTTCTTGGCACGGCGGCCGATGAGGGGTTCTTCCGAATCGGAACAACTCCTCCACGGCCGCACCTGCAATGACTCTAAATTATAGATAATGCAACTCGTGGTGTGGCCGGTTTTGGCCGTTTCATGTTGGACAGCACTCAACACACGGCCCGGGGGGGGGGAAAGGGAATGAACACGGACCAATCCCCTTCGACTGTAGTTATATTTCGAACGGTTAGAATTTCTGACAATGTATATTTATTTTTTCTAGAAAACAGCAAGGGGCACAACGACAACCTCTCCAACGACACGTACACTCTTCAACCAGCCTATAATAGCAAAGGACGATTCGACAAGAAGAGAAAACGACGCACCTGAAGCCTATCAGCACCGGCGCACGAAAGCATCTTGTTGATGCGCAGCACGTGGAAAGGGTGGGCGCGGATGCGCATGTGGAAGTTGTCCTTCCCGGCGAACTTGGCCATGTACTTGTTCGCCGACACGCGGGCGGCCTCGAGAGCCTCCGAGGTCAGCTGCTCCTTCTCGTCAGAGACCTGCGGCCGAGGGGGGAATGAGTTGGCAAATTCAGATCTGGGTGACCAGCGATTCATTCGTCATACGCCTCTCGGGCAGTGAAGTCTGTTAGGTTGCATGGCACGCACCAAGGATCAGTGGAAAGGGGTCAGCTGCTCCTTCTCGTCAGAGACCTGTCGCCGAAGGGGGAACGAACCGGCAAACAAACTTAGAACGGGGCGACCAGCTAACGTGCGTGCTGCTGCTCTTCATTTGTAAGAAGCTTCTCGGACATGCATTGGGTACGTTTGGCTGAATGGCACACAGGAAGGACCAGCCGAGAAGGATCAGCTGGTAAATCTCGTGAGAGGCAAGCGGAAGGGAAAATCGGCACACAAATACGTTGCCCACTAATGTGGATACTGATGTCCTGTCTCACGACAGTATCCTCTCCACCGAAAATATGCTTCTCTGACATGCGCTATTCTGTTGCCAATAGCGCCTAGGAAGGACCAGCGCAGAGGTGTCAGATGTTTCGTCACGTGACACACGATTCTGAAATTTCCGGTTGTCTCCGCTGTCGTTAACCCGACGGTCGGGAAACAACAACAACAACAGCAGTGTATCGTCGGTCGGGACAAGGGGGCTAACGACAGACCACGGCCAAGAAGTCGTCAACTTCGCCTCCTCGTCCCGACACTGCACATACAGTTATTGTTGCTTTCGGGTGCGAGGAAGAGAAGCACAACATATACAGCAGTGACGACAGGTAAGCCGCGCCTGCTCGTCCGAGCAGACGAGAACCGACAACAAACGGAACGCGCCTTTGTGACCATTTGATTCGCGAAAACTATCCCTCATGGCAGGGAATCACCAAACAACGCTAAAGTTTCGGTAGGATAACGAGAGAAGTGGGGTTGCCAATTTTCCGTAGGCCTATCGTAACCTGGCTCCGACATCAACCTACGCCGCCCTTCCTGCTTGCGGGGTCGCCACGGACGGTACTTCAAAAATTCAGGTCTACACCGATACACAAATAACAAAAAAAGCAGCTTACGGCCTCGACACAGCAGTTCCTCTATGGAGCTCGGTATGCCCGATTTCAACACGCGAAGACTATCGGACCAGACGTGGGGGGTGTTCGCTCAATGACTCGAAATACACAACGCTATCGGGAAGGTTTGGATTGCATGGGGAGCTGGCTCTTCTAACACAAACGTCAGCTGCGTGGAACCTGTTTGTGGACTGTATTTCCGCCAAGCCAGCGTGTCACGACAGAGCTGCTGATTCGAACACAAACAAGGCAATACACAAACGAGTGTTTCAAACACTTCTCCCTGGAATCGCGGCACACATCCACGGGGTTTAACTCCTATGACTTGGACTACGGATGTTACTGAGTAAACTGGCTGCACGAAAGGTAGGTGACATCATATAGATATCACACACCCCATGAACCGATTTTGAAAGTTCGGCTACACTCCACAGCAGAAAGAGTGGCAGTGCCTGATATTCGAGGCATTGGAACTCTGTCGTCGAGAGCAAAACTATTACTATCGTTTGATTACACATCCTTTTCGTTCTGGAGTAATCGAGCTATTTATCATAAATGATCGGTCCAGGCGGGGGGAGTGGTATCTTCCGCAACCTACGGCGGTGCTGTGCTCTCTCTCTGTCTCACCAAGTGGACGACCATCGGGAAGTCATCGACCGACGCCTTCTTGTTTCCGACTTCGTAGATGCGAATCTTCGGGTCGGGCACACCGCGGCAGTACCGCGATTTGATGAACGGCTTGTTCTTTTGGAAGCGGTAGCAACGAGCCGGTCCTATTTCGTGGGGCACACGTGCGCGAGTCCATCCATCCACCCCCATCAGTACAGCCCCGAAAAGAGATTCCAGCCCACAGAGGTCACCGCCGCGAAAACGTCGAAGTAGTTGGCAAGCGAAACAAAAACAGGACGAGTGGTGAGAGAGCGCAAAGGGGGGGGATAGCAGCGGCACCTCGGGAGTCGGGTTGGTGTTTGATTGGTCATGGACATCAGCCAGCGGCTTATCAAGGTGCTGGTGAGCTGGCTGCTCTTGTTGCGGGGTGTGTTTCTAATGCTGCAAACAACTAACTCGTCGTCCGCCACAGCATCTACAGCACCACCAACGCACGACCGAAACTATCAACGAGCACAGCGCAAGCCTTGCCACACGTAGCACTTGTCTCTGGCCAGTGCTGCTTGGCTCAACGCAGCCTACGGCGGCAACAACAACAACAGGCCTTCTATTAGACTTTCAGTCAAATCCCAGCCAGCCAGCCACACCTCTCTCCTACTGCTGTCCCTTCCGCGGCAAAAAAACACGATCTCGAGTTTCAACCAGGCACTTCACTCCACCAGCTACCGCAAGCAACGCACGAGAGTACCAGCAACGTGGTGCCTTCGGTCTACGGCCTACACCACTCACGGCGCCCCATGTTGACGAGGGTTTTAGAGAGTCCTGCCCGAGAAGCCCTTGTGAGCGAGAGATACCACAGGTACGGGAAACCACAGGCTGATAGCGGAGGGTTGATATTTTTTGTGGGTAATAGTGGTGCAAAATCACGCCAAAAAGTTCTAGAAAAAAAAATCGCGGGAGGTTTTAAACACCCGCAATCCAACATCGTGTTTCTTCCAGAGCGTCGCTTGGGCGTGGACGACTGGCTTCTAGATTGATTCTGACGATTAACTAGAGCACACCAGATATCGTCCACACGACGCTCAAGAGTTGTTCTCTCTTCGCACTCGGTCAAAATAGAACAGCGTGTTGCAAAAAAAATGAATGTGTCCGCGTGCTCTCTGAACGAGGTCTGCCCGTAGATCCTTCGTGTAACACTTGTAGCTGTACAACTGTCAACTGGCTACATGCTCTCAGTGAGAACGCGCGAGACTACTCTGCTGCAAGCAGTAGCGTAGCTATAGTGGTTCTACTTTGCATGTACTTCTATTGTAGTCTATGCATACAACAAACGCCCGGCAGACTAATTTTTCAAACGAACTCTGCGGGTGGAAAAGGGGGCGGACGTCACCCGCGGGGGCACTTCCGCGCCACAACTAAATAATGAATGTACTCGTGAATGCCAATCCAAGCCCCATCTATGTTGGAAGAACACTGCACGATCTTTGTCAAAAACTGCTGTTTTCTCACAGCTGCTTGTAGGTGTAGCCTTGGTGTGTGGTGGTCACAATCGACGCGTCTTGCGCGTCGGGACGAGAGCTACAAGAGCCATGATGATGAGAACGAAGATGCAGGTTCGACAACTGCTGCTTTGACAGAGAGCGAGGTGGAGCGTAGTGCATGAATGGACACATAGCTTTTCCATGATAGAGAGATGGATTCGTTGTGTCATATTAAGAAAAAAAAAAAAATGCGCCTGGTGCGTGTGAAACTGCTGTAACTGTTGAACGATTGTGTATGGCAACTCGACGAGTATCGTCGCGTTGCCTGTCTGAAGCTTCGATTTTTTCAGCGGGTAACAATCAAGGTAGACACCAAGAAGACGCCCGATGAGCACACAGGAACCGGGGGACCCCAAAAAACAAAGCATGGAAAATATAAGAAAGAAGCGGGAACAAGAGACCCAGGCGCGACAGGCTTCAGGGAGGAGGAAAAAGAGAGCATAGAAAAACCACGGTCGCCGCTCGCTCTGGACCGCTGGAAACTCTCACATAGCACTGCATATGCAGCAAACGTTAGGTAGGGCCCAAGTCCATTGCTTGGCATAACGCCCATCGCTTCACATGCAGCAGCCGGATGCACGGGTAGCCTCGTACACAGCAAGAAGCAAAACGACTGTGGTTGGTTGACGTTCGATGTTGTTGGGACCCCACCGGCGAAAGACGAGAGAGAGAGGTAGACTAAAAGAAGAGAGCGGAGAGAAGACAAGGCATTAACTCTCGAGAAGACACTCACTCTCGTCCCTCTGCCTCACCGCAGGCCGTCAGACATGATGTCACATTGTGTATAAAACGGTGATATCCGATGTCGGCTCAGCAACAACAAACAAACACAACAAACAAACATAGTCGCCGTGTGCGAACTGTGGACTATCTTGTAGTAGTTCCACCCACCCACGGATATCGAACGATGAGACTGAAACTAAAGCTTCAGAATAGACGTCGGATATTGGAACTCGAAACCTAGAAGTTGATAGACGTCGGATATTTACTTGGATGCTCCAGCTTTCGAGGAAAATAATGAACGTGAAAGCTTCGAAACACGCAAAAAGACCTCGGAAATAAATCACGTGGGGTGATACGTCTGTCTCTGACCAACCACGTGACCACGTACGACATGTTTTTCACAAAGAACGACAGCACTCCAGCACATCGTCGTGAGAAAATATTTCTCCTCCTCTTGAGTCGAGATCACCCTGGGCAAAAAGCCACATTCCTTACAATTTCAATTACAATGCATCTCAGCCCCGAGTTTAATTGGTACCGATGTCCGGTGAACGCCGACTCAAAAATGCATCACCGCGAATGGCCTATGTTTATCGCGAGGCAAAACCATGGAATCTCGAAAAAATCCGTCTCATCTAGCAGCTGCCAGCCGCACAACAACTGAGCAGTGGCAGATAGCGCTGCAGTAGCAGACAAAGGAGATTCCTCTCCAGCGAAGTCACTACTGCAAAACCCTCCACTTCTAACGCCGTGCCGCGCCCGGCTTCGGTACGCTATTAATATTTCGCGCTTCTCTTTCGCGTCACCCCCTCACCCGCCTTTTCATCCTATCGTCGCCCCGTCCCCTTTCAGCACAAAACGCCTACGCCCACGAGCGAAACAAACCCGAGGCGAACAAAAAACGTCGTTCCGTTGTCCTCCAAAGCGAATAAAGATGTAAGCAACAACGAACACTTGGCCATTCTTTCCGACCCAAACGGCGGATGGCCCCCAAGAATCGTCGCCTACCCTAGTCCAAAAAAACTGCTCTGAAGAATGGACGCGACAAAGCGCCCCGACCGTGCTTTCGTTCAACCTATCGCTTCTAGTACACACGCTTGGTCGCTAGGTCAACCAGAACCTGACCGGCCTTGGACATCCTTCCCTCCTCCGGCCTAGACATATCCACCTCCACTTCCATCGGGACTCCCTTGAACTGTGCGAGGGAGACACCGGGGGGGGGGGGGGGTTCCAAGTTTTGAGATAAGACATGTTCAAACGGCGTGGGTGGCATCAAGCGCTTGCCAGGAAAAGGGAAGCAGGAGGGAGAGACAGTCTGCGACAGGATACAGTGATTCGTCCTTGCCTTTTAACAACAGAAAAAGGGAGACCGCGTGATAGGTCGTGGTTCGTATGTACACGGGAGCGTGTGGTGCTGATGCAGCGTCCACCAAAACCTTGCGACAGACCATGGCAAAACGTGGCACAACCCTTCGAGCGAGCTGGGCAGCTGTAGGCCAAACATATAGTACACCACCCCCACCGCCACCACGACCACAAAGAACAACAAATACTACTATGCATACGTAGGGCTCGCATACCTCCGCCAAGACTTCGTCCGGAATTCCGAGAGGGTAGCACGCCTCCAGCGGGGGCGGCGGGTTGCGCATGAAACTGCTACCGGACGGCATGTATGGCCGGATGTATCTGAGAGACGCGCCATAACACAAAACAGGACACGACAAAAACGCAGAGAAGCGTGCCTGGTTAAAGACGTTGTCGAAGTCGTTTGGCGTGGCGAGATGCCTCTGAGGGGATTGAAGGGCAGCACAACGACGAGAGTGCGCACAAACAGAGCGGGGCCCGATCGTGAGCACACACGTGTTACGGTCGGACTGGGTGTACGTGGGACAGATACGGACACTGGTTGTTCACCATGCAACGTGGAGTGCAGACACGGCCGGAGGCAAGCCTGCCTGCCCTCAGAGGCATAGCCTTCAGGAACAAACCGGGTGCACGCCGCTCGAGGGCACATCAGCAGCACAGCAGCAATGCCCTGACGGTTAAATATACGTATCTATTGTGGCAGGCTCAAAAGGAGAACCATCGGTACAAACCCGGGATCACGCTGGAGAACACAAACAGCGGTAGCGCTTGTAATTGAAACTAAACATACCAAACAAAAAACGGTAACCGGTACATACTACCAACGTGCCAAGCTAGACCTATAATGCTGACATAGCGTCCCCTGAAGAAACAGAACAAGGCCAGCGAGCAATGCAGCAGTGTCGACAAGGTATCTGAAAACAAGTGTGGGGCTAAAGAAACGTCTGGGAGGGAGGAAGGCCTTGCGGTGGAAGGTCACCTGTCGACGTGAACGTGTTCGTCGATCATCTTGTAGGCTCCTCGCATGAGAGCCTTGGCCCGGGCGCTGTCTGGTCCGCACTTGGACCCTTCGTCGAACTGGCGTCAACGGACGAAGGAGCACAAAAATACACTAGTCACTTCGCTATCATAATTTACCACGAAAAAGTGCTTGACAGTGCTATTTACGTTGGGTCTGGCGCATTTCGTCTCATGTGCTACTGGAAGTACTATCATGAAACAAAATTGAGGGGTTATTTGGTAGTCAAGGAGCCCTCTCTGCGAAAGCAAAGCCGACAGCGGTAACAGCGTCCGGCCGGCAGCACTAAACGAGAAAAACCCAACATCGGGAACAGCGAACGTGTTGGATCATCAAACCACGCCAATCTCCAAAGGAAAAGCGTTCGCGTGCGCTGTCGAGGTCGTACACGTCCTCTACAGCCCAAGCTCTATTTTGTCGACAGCAAAAACCGACGAAAGACACTAAAAAAAGGCGCCTTCTAGATCACTGTTATATAATAGTTATAGTCATAGTCTACACCCTGTGCTACAACACTCTTACGACATAGTTCTAGTTTACTTAAGGCATGGATGGCATGCTTCAAGAACCAAACTCCGGACGGCAGCAGCACTAGAAGTGGCGCCAAGCGCAAGCTCCGAACTGAGATTGAGACTGTCGACATGACTTTGGGTGCGGCATGTACACGGGGTCAACAAAAATTAAAACACCGAAATACGCGTTGCATGTGCCCAGGGACACCTACGAGCAAAATATAAATGGATACTAAACGCGGCTTGCAAGCAATGATAACCTAAGAAGAGGGCAACAAAAAAGACAGCAAAACAATGCCTTGTTACTTGGACAACCAAGTAAGTTTCAGAACACCACAACGGCCTCATCGGGGGTGCAGTCTTCACAGTCGTGGAACATCGGCCCAAGCTGCAACGAACCAGCTTCGACATAAGCCACAAACAACGCGTACCGATGCGCGGACTTTGGTGGCCTCCTCGAGAAAAATGGTCCGGTCGATCGCCCACGAATCGAGCAGCTTCAACGAGGCCCGGTACAGGCGGCAGACTTCCTGGAAAGGACGGGCGCAAAACGAAAGCCGACGACACAACCATCCACGATAACAGGGCACAAGGCGCGACCGATCAGCTGTGAGGCACAACAAACATGCTTACAACAGCAGGCAGATGATACAGGCACGTCGTGATGATTTGAACTAAAAGGCAACAGACGAGCCCAAACGAAACAGGCAGAGAGCTTATGGACCACATAAAAACGTCTCAAGAAAGATCGGAACGCCGGTTGTTGTCAGCCACGGAAATGGAACACCGTAGACGCGTACTTTCTTTTGTCTTGAGGCGGACTGGACGGAGAAAATTGCGTGCTCATGACGCTCCCCCTATCAAGCCGTATAGATCATTTTGCGGGTGCGTGCCTCTTTTACTGCTCCGTTGCAGAGCACGACTTTTGTTTCCGTCGGCATACGGTGACGTGAGTCAAGCTCATCCTGGCTCCCTCCATATTGGAACAAATCGAACGGTATTTTGCTGTCTATCGAGCAAATAGACAGACGGTACAGCAGGGCGAAACCAAAGATTATGTAGGAAACCAAGCCGTTCATTTGCCGTGAGTCTGGCATGTGGCCATCTGTCGCGTTCCGCCCGCTCCGACTGCACAAGGCAGCTTCATCAAGGGTGATTCTTGGGTACCCATCGTACTCTTGATTTCGGTCTAAAAATAGTGCGAGAAACCTTTTCCTGCAAGCTCAAAACACGCAAGACGCAAAAGAAGAGGATTTCCGCGGCGCAAAACTTGTTAACAATCACGAAAGCCGCCCCCCTTTCCCCGCTTTCGGCGCCATTCGAGCCACCGGTGATGTTGCAGCGATCGGGACGCCCATCCAGCTGCGGCTGAGGGGGGACAGGGTTATCGGGGGCGACATGGCAAGCCTCGATGCTCTTCTTGTGACTTTGAATCACGAACTGCACGTCGCCGTCCATCGCGAACGCGCCCCGACTTCTTCACAGAACGTCGTGCTCGTTCTGCAGGAGGTTGAACGACAACGGGTCGTAGTCTTTGAACGGCGACACGGGGTCGCTGTTGTCACCGTTCTAATACCACCACCTAATGTCCTTCAACTTCCCTACGGAGCGAGCACGACGTTTTTCTCGTGAAAAAGTCGGGCGCGTTCGCAATGGACGGCAACGTGGAGCATTCGTCAAACAGAGGCATGGGAATTACACCCCGGCTTGGCCATGTCGCCCCCGAGAACCCTGTCTTCCTCGGCTCGATGGGCGTCCCGGTCGCTGCAACGCCCGGTCTGGAGCGCGGGTGATGGCGGGGGAGGCGGCGGCGGCGGCGGTGGCGACACCGATCGCGACGGCGGTGGAGGCTTGGCCTGAGTTTCTTGCTTGGGCCGAAGGTTGAGCGTGGTATTTGTAGCCGAATGGATGTTCGGAAGGAGGTGGGGCACTTGGCCCTGTTGCTATTTAACAGGCTAATAACAAATTGCGAAACAAATCTCAGAGCCCGACTTTTCTTGAAAAGACTGTTTCCTCTTGCGAGAGAGATTGAACACAAAAACACTCCTCATCCAATCTCCGACAATCTAAATTTGCATATCACACGCTAGACTCGGTTTGGGCTCGAGTTGTACGGCGTGTGTCTGCGTTCAAAAGGAAAGGAGAGAAGAGAGGGAGAGAGGGGGGGGGGAAGGGAGGAACAATAGTAGTGTAGCAACTATGTTTCCAACCTTAAACGCACAACAAGGCTTCTTCATCGTTACGACCGGGCTACACGAGGTTAGCACGCTAGCACAGCTCATGTTTCGCAGTCCGCGGTCTGTGTGCGGGGTCTGTCTGCACCTCCTGACCTGCTTGTGTGTGATGGGGTGCTGCTTGGAAATAAACTGCGCCGCCGCGCCACGGAACGTCGAGTTCATTTGTGCATTCATGGCTGCGCCTTTTCTTCTTGGCCCGCTGCTGCAGCAATCTGCTCCTGATTAAAAGAAGTCCTGTGCGTGCATGCAAAGAACGCGCGAGAGAACGCAGGCGGGCATGCATACGGAAGTACTCAGCAGCGGTACACAGCGGAGGGGGCACTAAAACGGGCATGTTGTTGGGGTGGCACAAACAAACGTGTACGCCGGTGTGTATGGAGAGAGAGAGGGAGAGCGATAGCGTCTCGTTGGGCTACGCGAGTGCAATGTGGACTACCGAGAGCGTGGTGTTGACTATACTCTGCTATCTGAGAAACATACCGAAGGAAACAGCCGCGCCAGCTACACCAGAGTGTGCAAGCAAGCAAGACGCACGCGCATCGGAAAGGGCCTCTCCGATAGCGAGGAGGATGATGCATCGAAGACGAACACAAGACGCCAACATGTTCGACAGGCAAAGCAAGAAAAGGGACGCCTAACACACTCCACCCAGCCAGCAAGATTGTCGCATCTCTCTCACACACCCTCTCACCTAACCTCCCGGACACGGTCTGGTCCTGTGTCTGGGCTGCTCGTTTGCTGTGTGCTATGTTGCCGCGGCTACGCGATATCGAAATGCATGTGCTACATCCACCAAGGTGCATCTCAGCTGCGTGCCCCCTCCCCTGCCCCGCTTCTTCGGGCGCTCTTCTCTTCTGCTCTCTCCAGCTCACATCCCGCGCCTGATCTCTCTCTCCTTCACTCTCTTCAAGGCCAGCGCACGTCAGAAGTCCCACCTCTATCCGACCTATTGATCCGCGAGAGGTTAAAGACCTAGCGCCCCCTAGTCATACAGCTCGCAGCATGTCTTCCTACCGAGCGATGCTCTGTGTGGTCGCGGCCCTCGTGCTTTCATGCACCTCTACATCGGCTTTCGTCGCTCCTACCGCGGCGCGGGCAGCAACAGCAGTGAACCAAAGGTGACGACGGGGGGCGAGCGAGCGAGCGAGCGTTGCTCGTGCGTTCGAGTGTGAGATTGAGAGCAGTAGATCTTACCGTGCACCCCGCGGGCGTTGGGACAAATGAGCTGTCTGTCTGGCTCTCTTCTCTGGGGTGGAAGGCCGATGATTCCTACAACCGTGCTACCCTCAGGGTAGGTGCGATAGACGAGGATGGGCATGAATGGAATGTAGAAGCGTGTGCGACGTTTGCTGTGCCTGCGTTGATCGAGAATGCCGCGTGGTTGGGCTGCACCTTCACCATTTTTGGCTCATTAGCCTCCCTTTGGAACTCATTATGTATCTCGTTCTCACGCCTTTGACGTTGAACATGAACCGGTCGTTGGCACCAGGCTCTTTGAGCGCAACTTATCCTCCAGATCATGCAAGAGTACTGCCGTTGAACACCCTGCAACTCCCCTTTCCCAACTGAATTCATCTCCATCGAAAGACACACCCTATACCGTCGTGGTGCATCCGGGTTCTGATGGTGTCGTTCCCGGGTGCAAATCCTAAAATCCTTGGCAGTTCACCACGTCCAATCTCTACGAAAAAAAAAAAAAAAACACGAGGACACGTGGTCGCAACTGCTTCTGTAGATCGACCCGCTGTAACTGGACCATGCCTCCCACAGCGGTGATAGAATACGCACACGGACAGGTTCGGTTTGTGCTACCGCTGTTCAGAAGATATTTCTTGTTCGCGATATGTTAACGAAGCACCTCCCGCTCGAGATAACTCTTGGAGAAACACGTCGCCGAACAGCAGACCGTTGTGATTGTTGCCCTGTTTCTGCTCTCATTCCCGCGTGTCTCAGTTGTAGCGGTGGGACCCGTCTGGATCTTCTTGCTGTCCAGAACAACGTTGGCACGTGTTCACGTCCTGCGAAAAGCAAAACGATACAGCAGCAGTCGTCGTCGTGGTTTTGTCGCCTTGTTGGTGCATGGGCTGCTTGCTGCTCTACGGGCACCTCGGTCACACACCGACGCTGCTCCTCCTCACACATCATCAGCACCTGCTGGTGTTTGTCGGCAGAAAGATCTACTACAATTAGTAGGGTAAATCAGTACCCGAATTATGCATTATGCAACCACCCATCCCAGGTAGTTGACGCTCTCGTTACAAGTGGCCAAGATGTGGTGGTGGCTACAAGTTCTCGTAAACGTTTTCCGCGTTTACTACCTGCATGCTTTTGCGCGAACATCGGCGTCTCCGCATAAGACGGTCGCGCTACACGTAGTCGTGTGAAATAATTGACTGGCATCGGCGGATTAGTTTAGTTGTCTACCCATTGAACAAGGCGGCTGCCCCGTATAAGGCGATCATTATCAAGGCAGACGATCATTGGCTTCCCCACCACCGCCATTCACTCATTCAGGGACCTCCCTCGTTGTATTTTGTTCCTGTTTTTTTGTCGTGTTTTCATCCCTCTTTGGCGCTCGCTGTCCGTCACCAGGTCCTCGGCTGTGTCCCGATCAGCGGTGAACTCCAGGCAAACACAGCGGAGAACCAGCGCCCTGTGCATGGAAGGCCAAGCAGCTGTAAGTATGTATGCCCGCGAAGAGCGGGTTGCTGCTGTACTCGCGAAAAGTCCTTTTTTTTTTTTTGTCGCAAAGGAGAGAGCAATGCACGAGACTGAGCAGGGAAAAATAGACGGGCGATGCAGACAGAAGTTCGCGGCACGGTGCAGCCAGGCGAAGACGGTAGCTAAATGCTGGAGTTCTACTGTGGCCTAAGCAGGCGACAAATCGTCCAGACAAAATAGGAAGTTTGTTTGAGCAACCTTGGGTTGAGCGAGTGGCCATCGGCGATCGGTCCCGTGGAGACAACGCTCCGTCCTCGCGAAGCCACGTATTAGTTAACGGTCTACCAGCTAAGGCATCCAAAAAATGAGGACGTCCCTCCCCCCAAAACCGGCATGCGAGTGCCTCTTGCTGTCTGCCGTCCGAACATGGAAGTGGAAGTTTCGCTCCCAATGGCACAAACACGAACGTCACGACATCGTTAAATTCGGGCAGTAAATTATGTACTGTCCTTGTTCCTACGTGCAGCAGAAGCTGTGTGCATCGCCCGCTTGTGTCGAGAACCTCTACTCCGTGTGCGTGTCTCCGTTCTCTTTGCTCCGGTCTCACCATGACATGGTCGCGCACCCCTGTCAGCCTCCGGTGTCATGGGTCGCGCGACTCGACATGCTGCCTGTTCACGCCTGGAGAAACCTGTACTTATCGGCTTGTTTGTGTGTCCTTTGTTTATTGTTGTGTGTTGTGTGTGTGCGTGTTTTTTCTTTCAGTACCTGGACGACCCTATGCTGGTGCCCCTTGAGGACGACGACTACGTGGCCTTCGGCCTCGCCTGCTGCTTCGTCATGAACGACAACCTCAAGCTCGACGGTGAGCCCACAGAGTTGGAACCTCGTGTCTTGGCGTCCGCCTCCCTCCACGTGCTTTAGTCTTCTGCCACATCTGGAAGCAGTAGATAGGGCGCACCGGTGTTGAGGACCGGTGTTTTTCCCCCATCATGACCTTTGTACACTGTGTCATGCACGAATGTGTGCCGAGTATTTGGCTTGATGAGCAGTGTTTCCCACTTTCAGGACACCATTTTTTCTAGTCAGCAAGGTGCCCGGCAAAGGGTGTTAATTTCATAAATGCAAAAGGGGGGTATGGTAACTGCCCCGCTGTCACAACAAGTTTTTTAAAGAAATCTACCATTCACGTGCCATTCACTACGGAAATCCGGAACAGAGTACTACGTTTACGAGCCGCTCACCGCGGCTACCCTGGAGACCATCGCGAGCTCGCAGAGCCTGGAGACGTCGTACAAGCGTGTGACGGCCTTCCACGCGAAGGATATCTTCGAGGGACCCCCGGCCAGGCCCACGGGCATCCAGGTCGACAAGCTCAAGATCCTCGATGGGGACGTCACAGCACATGTGAGAGAAAACAGAAGTCATGTCGGAGACTTGTAGGGCCCTGTTCGTTATGAGAGTGTGTTTTTTGTTCTCAGTATCGACCGCGCTATCCGGCTGACTAATCAAAAGGCGCCAGTCGCTGTGCGGCTGAGAACAGAAAACGCTTCTGAAGGTCATGATCTAGGACTCCGTGAGGGGGTGCCATTTTGTTTTGTGTTTTTTTTTCGTCTGTTCTTTTCTTAATTGTCTCATCATCAAGCCTCTGTGTTCAGCCGGATAGCGCGGTCGATCCTAAGAACAAAACACACTCACAACAAACGCTTTTTTTTTGGCGGGGGGGGGGGGGGGGGGGGGATCCTTTTCGGAAAAAAAAAGGGGGAAAAAAACAAAAAATTTTCCCCAAAAAACTCCCCCTTTCCCCCCTTTCCTCCCGGGAATTTCCCAAAAAAAAAAAACGGAAAAAGGGCCTTTTTTGTTCCCCGGAAAAAAGGGGGGTTCTGGGAAAAATTTTAAGGCCCCCCGGGGAAAAATCCTGATCCCCAAAGGGGAAAGGTCCCCCCCCCCCTTCTAAAATTTTCCCCCCTTTTGGGGGGAAAAAAAAGGGGGCTTTTTCCAACCAACCCCCCCCTCTTTTTTTCCCCCCTCTTTCCCCCTTTGAAACCCCCCTCTTTTTTTTTTCAACCACCCCCCTTTTTCCAAAAATTCCAAAAACCCGGGGGAAAGACCCCCCCCGGGGCCCCCCCCCTCAAAAAAGGGGTTTGGGGGCCCGGAGGAAATTTTAAAAAAAAAAATTTTTTTTCCCCCCTTTTCTTTTCTTTTGGATAAAATCAAACCCCG